TGGCACTGTACTTGAACTCCGTGTGAGTGTGTGGTTTTGAACAAATGACTTCCGCTACTTCTATTTGAACTCAGATTGTAATAACTATGTTTAAACTCCGATGTACCTGTGATGCGAACTTTTATGTAATATGTGATGGTGACCGCTAAACTTATTACGATCTTGGCTGGTATGTGAGTTGGTTTGAAATCCTTCATGATTTCGCGGACTACCGGGTTATACGGGCTTAAGTTTGCTAAATCGTCTGCTATGGCGGGTGATTTTCTTACTTAATTTTGTATAATTGGTCGGTTCTGTTACAGCGTCCTTCGATAGATCGTGGACCATCCCAGGACCTATCAAGTACTACCCCCGCAGAAAACCCCTACGACCCTGCTCGGTCACCAGCCCAGCCCGTATACAACCGTACTAAACCGTATGAGGATTTCAGATACGTACCTGATCGCGGCGACCAAAACTCCTCCCAGCGCGCCGTGACTCCCTCCTCACGCGCGGGCCGTGCCACGAGCCCACGTCTCCTCCCGCGCCTGGCTTCCCGCGCAGGCCGCGACCTCCCTTCTGCTCGGCCACGATTCCCTCCCAGGTGAGCGCATAATAAGCTCCGTTTGGCAGAGCTTCATTTCACTAGTGAAGCAATTTTTTTGTTTCAGCTCCACGAACAGCTCCACCAGTGGAGCTGAAGCGGTTTTGGTAAACCATTTGGCAAAATGGCTTTCCCATGAGAGCATGTTTTTAGGGGCCTGAAGGAGGAGCCGGGAGAAGCCACTTTTTTTTGGCTCCATCCCACTCTAAATCACTGTAAGAGCATGTTTTTAGGGGCTTCACCAGTGAAACTATTTCACTTTACCCCGTTTGACAAAAAACAGCTCCAAACGGCTTCTGAAGCCGATGGAGAAGCCCAGCCAAGTTCCTCCTTCTCTAGATGCATCCTGGTGTCTGGCTCCAAAACGGAGGTGCGCGCCTCGGCCAGTTAGCCATCAACAGGGCTCAGCGTCTGCCTGACAACTACAGGACGGATATCGGCCGCAACGTTTGCTGGACAAGAGTTCAAGGATGCATCAACCGAACTACGTATACATCCACCTGTGATTTTTTTCCCTCGATCCACCTGCAGCATGTATATTTTAGGCGACATCAGGTTGTTACTGAATTTACCTACTGTTGTCATCTCTACTAATACATGCAAGAATGAAATATCTAAAAGAATCTACTTCAAAACTTGAATTATATTCTAATCATTCATCTTTCATGAAGTCATGTATTAGTGAAGTTGTCAGACGATGCGTGAGATGTTTCCAGCGGACGGTGAGGTGGGCGTGCGCAAGTAGCGCCGCCATCGCTCGGCAGCCCGAGCATAGGCCACCTAGCCAGCACCATAATTTGGGTTTATCTTTATCCAATGTAATAACATAGATTGAAGTACACTAGGCAGGGTACAAGCGTTTATTGCAACTTATTGACCCCTAGGGCATCGCTAAGGCTTATTGTATTGAACATTTTATCTACCTTAACATAAAGACGCGTAAAGCTTTTGCGTGTTAGAAAAAAAAGTATCACGCTCGAAGTATTGTTTTTTAATAGTACAATATTGGTGATAAAGATCAAGAAAAGACCTTTATATTTTCTGTATGTAATTAGATTTGTAAATTTCTTAATATGTTCATTTAAGCCATAAGTCACGTGCGTTGCCGTATGCGTTGGCAAAAATCTATGACTCTGTGCCCCGTGCATATATCTAATAAATAAACATAAAAATTATGGAAAAGTAGACTATGCTAAGGATCGGATAATTAAACAGATTTTTGTGTTTTTTAAACATAAACAGCTTTTTGACAATTAATTAAGTTCGTAAGTCAAATCATATGTCCAAATCACAGTTTTTAATAACACGATTAAGCGTCAGCCATGTGGGCCTGTTAAGCGTTCATTGTTTTAAACAAAAAGTGTCGGCCTGTTAAGCGTTGTTTTGATGGGCCAGGCCCGAGTGGGTATTTTCTCGCCTGACATTCCAGCCCGGCCCATGAAAACCCCACCCTCCTTTCTTCCCTCTCGCCGGAATGTTGCGGAGAACCGGAGCGCGATGGCAAGCCGACGGCGGACCGCCGGCGTTCCTCTGTCGCGCGGTACTCTACCCCGCTGTTGGAAGTCTCTCGACGCGCGTATGTGAGTTCCACTCTAACGCTCGTAGCAAGTAAATCCTGTTTTCTTCCCCGCATTTCCTCTTTTTTCGCGTGGGATCGCCATGGGACGCCCTCGAATTCCCGCTACCAAACTTGCAGATTCAACTTGCTAAAAAAATAGGGTTTTGAAGAGTGGCGATGTGGAGGGACTAAAAATTTGCCTGGAGCCAAGACATTTGGAAAGACAATTACATGTTGCAATTGGATAACCGCTCCAAAACCGCTTCCGCCGCTCGACGGGCGTTGCGGCAGTGGGATACTCATGTGCCAGCGCGTATGGGCGCGCGTCGGCGGCAGGCTCCAGCGATACGTGGCGCCCCCAGAAAAGTGCAAAGCTTGGAGCAACGTGCGAGGGGGACCGAGATTCGTTCAAACTATGCACAAGGTTACAAAGTTCTAACTACTGCAAGGCTTTCTTCCTTTGTTTTATGCGCATGATTTTGCAGTTCCAACACATATCGGTTCCTTGTCTCCTTCGGAGCTGCTGATCCCTACAGCCGTTGCCGATTCCGATGCTTCTGGTTGGTCCGGGCGACTGCATTCTGTGAACCTGCCCTGCTTTTGGTTAGTTCTGGGCTATATCGTACTGTTGTCTGGAATATTATGTTAGTCTGTCTCCAGGTTAACTAGAAGAAGGATCTAGGTAAACCTTTCCTCTTTGATCGATGATGCGAAGAAATTTGGCAATGGCTGTTCGACATCGCTATCTGTCGCTGCCCTGTACTGTAATTACTAATTAGTTTCTCACTTGACTATGCATCAAGGTCGTCACCTAGTAGTAGTATTATTTCATAACCCAAACATTACAAAGCACCAATGTGACAATGAACCATGAATTCTTTTGGGATGGAGAAGAATCCTATGCATGGTGTTCTACAACTTGGAACTAGCAAATATTCCGAATTCTAACTTGGCATATGCCCTGAATATTTTTTCAGTTAAAAGAAACATAATACCCTTCTATGTCTTGTCCATTTATCATTTTTTGAACGATACATTTCCACTTTAAATATCTCCTAAACTTCATATTCAGATATTTGGTACTTTTAGTTCAGTTCTCAGCCAGTTGTTGCCATGTACATGCTGAACATATCTACTCCCTCCATTCCAAATTAAAAGACGTTTTGTTTTTTCTAAATGCAATTTTTTTTGTTATGCAATTAGATATACACTATGTCTAGATATATAGTAAAAGCAATGTATCTAAAAAACAAAACATCTTATAATTTGGAATGTAGGGAGTAGTTGGCTCTAAACCTGTCATTTAGGATGGAGGGAGTATAAGGAACTGCCCAACGGCTGTAATATTTAAACTTACAAATGCTTGGTTGTCACTGAAAATTTCCATCGAATAGATGAATACTGAGGATACGAGTCAGACATACCAAGTGGGCTTTTATTAATAAAGACTTATCCAATGAGGTCTTCTATGGAAACTGACCATTTGGAAACACTAGGGATTTGTAATGAAATAGAAAAATAGTCACAACTTGACAAATAAAATAAGGGGCCCCATAAAATAACCATGCCTTTTCCAGCCAGCTAGAGTCAGTATAAGCATCTTGTGCATTGACAGATCACAAATGCACAGAAATGTTAAAGACATCTTGTCCATTTATTTGGATTTACAATCCATGCCGCATTAAAATGTTAAAAACATGCACTTGTTTGCCATATTTTGAGATAATTTTCAGAACTTAGTATACTGTATACACACATTCCTTTCAGAAAGGCTCATGTTTTGTTTTGTTTTTTTCAAAAACCTCAAGGGGTCTAAAACGGAAAATACATTGTGAGCATAGGGGCAGATGCCCACCCTCATTCTGAGCCATCAGATCGGAAATATTGTAAATTCCAAATAATTAATGTTAAAGTGAAGCATGTCTCTATTGCACTCATTTCCTTTAGAATGACAAATGCATCATACAGTTTAGGAGAACTGAGCAGAATATTCTTACACTGTCCAGAATTCCAGGTCCACTCGATGCTAACTGTCTCCTTGTGGTAGCACATGCAAATATCTTATTTTGCTAGAGAAGTATGTATGTTGCTAGTTGCAACCTCTGCAGAAGGTATATAAATTATTGGAGTTAACTAATTCGATGAACACTTAATTACTTGTTTTGGTTTAGTCAGGACTTGGTATTTCTGGAAGGTCAGCGATGCCCCTTCTGCTTATTCTGACTGATTAAGCTGGTTCTTGGTACTAGCCACTCATTAAAGAAATGCTAGCTTCCTTGTGACATGAGGTCAATATTACAGCTTTCGTGTAGTTGGTGACCGTATTGCTGACGTGTGGACTAACGTAAGGGAATCATCCCTATCCATGTGGACTGCAAACTGACTGAAATAGCCAATTACTTTCTTAAACTGTTAATTTTGTAGTTCACACCCTAGCACCAAGCTGTTATGTTCTACTAGTTGGTGTTTAATCCCTTGCATTTCAGTACTACAAGGAGCATAATGGCACAAAAATTCGTTTTTTTTTTCTGCTTAAACAAGGTATATGCACACATGTTTTCAACTTGCTTGCTGACAAGCAATTGCACTGCAGGGTTTACCTAAATTTTGAAAATTAATATGTTCCAGCTATACAAAGTTTTTCTCAGTGTCATGAACTTGAATATCCTGCTTTGCTTGTTTGTTGTTTTCCAATATAGTTGAATGTGTGTTTTTTTCCTATTTGAATGGTATGTATGATCAGACAGCTCAACAGCTGGATGGGAGTAGGTTCTCTCAGCTGACAGAAGAGCGTGATGTATGAACTATAATAATTGTATACATTGCATTGAATATACTGGTGGTATACATGAAAAAGAATCATCCGAGATAGTTTATCAACATAGAGATAGGGACCAAGCAAAGCCCTTTCTTCCTCAGCTCAGTACTCTCATATAGCACCTTCTCGTTGTTACTAAAACTATTGATGGCTTGTTGATCCATGCCAGTCGCCTGTTGTTTTGAACCCATAGCTTCCAAGTACTTGGCCTGCAATATTCCAACAACACACAGGTGTAAGTACAACAAGGGGCAACTAATTAATCACCATTTTCAAAAATTACATGTATAAAGGTCTAAAGGCTGTAGAGCAAGCATACCATGAGCAAGGGCATGTTGAACTCTTTTGCATCCATGGGTGCCATTTGCTTCATATCGAAATTTGCCATGGTAGCCATCTGCACAAGGAGAGTCCACAATCACGTTAGAAGACAAGCTATGTGCTCTACTGTTTGAAATAAAAGGCCTAGGCCTAACCAGAGAATCTTTTTGCTAACCTTTTGGTGGCCAGCTGCAGAAGAACAGGCCGTGTCCTGTAGGGACTCATCCTCTTCGTCGTCGTCACACATGAGCTCAGACGTGATGAAGGAGGCGTCGTTGCCAAAGGAATGGAAGGAAGAAGAGAAGCCGGAGGAGAAGCTGCTGCCGCCAGAGACCGCTGCATGCTGATCGTCCATCTCTCTGATGCCGTCTTGCGGCGTCGAGGCCAGGAAGTTTGCGATGTGCATGGCCCAGCTGCTCTCGCCGGCTGACATGGTGGATGTGGGCGCTGGGCTGACGCATGAGGAGGAGGGTGATTTGTTCTCCATTGTAACCAGTGCCCGTACGTATGAAGCAACAAGAGCAGTCAGCAGCAGCAGCAGAAGGCAGAAGCTCTTGTTCTTTGATGCTGTGGTTTGTTGTCTGGATGGGATGGGAGTGAAGAAAGCTCGCTAGAGTCCCTGGGTATATATAGAGTGGTTATTATGGTGACGACTGCTATTGTATTTTTTAGTCCTTGAATGAAAAGAAAAGAAGTGTTGTTTTGTAGCGAATGAATTGTGGCGGTTGGGATGTATATCAGCTCCGGCCAATGATATGGTTTGGATACAGTGAGAGGTCCACTTCACCAGCTGAAGGTTGTGAAGCCCAGAGCAACCCACATCTACCATCGCCTTTTTTTTTTGGTTGCCTCGGAACTGAACTGAACTGATCGAACTGGAGATGTGGTTGTCTTAATTAAGTCCCATAGGGGCGTGCATGCATGATACTCGTTCTCATAAACCCGGTTGTGTTGTGTTGAAAACTGAGCAGAGTGCATGTGGAGCAGGGGTGACCACTGACCTGCAGCGGGATAATGATGAGCTGAGCAGTGGTGAAGCCAGAAATTAATTAAGATTAGGGGAGAGAAATGTCACTAGAGAGGCCGGCCATTTACTCTTGAATTACATAGCAAATTAGCTACTCCCTCCGTCTCTTTTAGGAGTCATTCTCGCTTACCGAAAAGTCAAATGTAGTCAACTTAACTTAACCATATGTACAAAAAATTATATTAATACTTATATATATGGTACATAATTAGTATTATTAGATAGACCATTGAATCTATTTTCATAATAAATTTATTTGAAAATATATTTGATGCTAATATTCTCTATAAATCTAGTTAAATTTTAAGAAAGTTTGACGAATTAAAGAGACAGAGGGAGTGGTCATTAAGAGGTATAGTGGAAAAAGCATCAGTTAGTGAGCAGAGGGCGAATTGATTTAATTAACTATATAATAAGTACTGAGAGCGGAATGAATGAATGTGGTGTGGTGCCGAGCAGTTCGTTGGGTACGTAATAATGGCGAAAAGTAGCAGCGAGGAGATCGGATTGAGAGGGAGATTGGAGAAGACGGTCACATTCGTACGTACTACGTGGTGCTGTGGTGGTGGAGTGGAAAGCTATAGCTGCTGCTTGTAGTAGGTCAAGGCTGCTGCTGGCCGACACGGGGAGACGAAGACGACAGAGCCCAGCTCTGGGTCACCGGTCACGTCGCATCGGATCGGCATGGAGGAAGGAGCTCGCGAGCACGTTCTGCGGCGAGCAGCATGGACCACGCACCTAATCCGAGGATCCCATGTATCCGAATATCCGACGCGATCAGGCGGCGATCACGTACGAGCGGATATCAGATTGTCGATGAATTTTCCGAGAGAGAGAGAGAGAGAGAGAGACGATCACAGCATCGATCGCGCACGCAGCAACGACGCAGGGATCGGCCGGATATTATGATCCGAAGCGACCGAATCCTTGGGATGGGACCGCCATTGCTAGTTAGTTATCTTGATCTATTTTTTGGACACGTATACATACATGCCACGTGTCACAAGTGATGCGTCATGTATCGCAGGGTAGGATGATCATGCGTGCGGTCGGGTCGAGTCAAATCAGGCTAGCTAACAATCTGCTAGCTGCTCTCGTCTCGTCATCGGTCAAATGCATGCATGCATGGACGAGGCAGGCACGCACGCATGCTGCATGCATGGCCCACGATGCCAGTCCAGCTCTGCCGCTCCTGCGTGCCATTGGACTAGCCAATCATGTGGTCAATCTGTGCCCACCTGTCAGATGAATGGACAGCTGGGGACGAATCGAAACGGCGGGCTGCATGCATGCGCCCAGACAGCTCGAAACGGCTGCATGCATGCATTCGCCCACACAGCTCCAGGTCCAAACCAAATGGCTGCGTGCGCTGCGCATATGCTCCTCGCTCGATCCATTAACGGACGACGAATGTATATATATGGTTCTGTGCGAGCGGCGCCGCCACATTTTTTATTTTGTACATTTTAACCGTGCATGCCGCAGGCACACAACCAGCACAGCCTCGGCGGCCGTACGTGGATTCGCAGAGATTTCCTTTAATTTCATTTCGCTGTTGCTGTTTATCAATTATATATATTGGCGCTTCTCAAATTAACGCCCACGGACACTTGTCAAGTTCATCACGAGGTAATTCTCGATTCAGATTAGTACAAAGAAATTATAATAAATAAAAGAATTGCATCATATCAGGGTTTCGCTGAGGGGTGTCCATCTTCGTGGATTCAACCAGGCCATGAGATCTCGCCATGTAGGAGTCGTCGTCTATCCTATATATTCAGATCCTGGCTACTGCGTACTGCCCTATAGTACTATAATAGTCAGCTCTAGGATTAATTTGGCGAACGTGTTCCAATAAGCGAGGCCGGCCAGGTTGCATTGACCATTAATCCGTGCTTTAGCACCGTCAAAAAATTTGCGTCATATAAGTAGTATTGAATTTTCCTAGATACCTTTCAAATACGTGGTTTGTGCTAATAAGCCACGATCGCTTAAAAAAATTCATAAACAAATTTAGTACACATAGCTAATTAAAATTGATGATTTCTACTTTCATGCTAAGTCAAATTAACAACGTTAAGTCTGACAAAATTCTTTAGAAAACAGAACAACCGATGGCTATTAGCGGCGATAATGATTATAATCTACCAAATTAAAAGCTATTACACCCGTCTATGAAAGAATAGATTTATACGCACAACTTTTGTCCTAGAATAAATTAACTTCTAGGCATTTCCTCAAAGTTTTCAGCGGTCAGCGTACCCATTTATTCCTTTTGAACATCATGCTCTAGTGGTTTATGTAGTGGGTGCAACAACATTTCATAATATTTATTTGAAGAAGCAAAACTCACTACTACTACAGCTTCCTGACAAGTGGATAGAAAGGTCTTTTCTCTCTTGTCTACTAATCTGCCATAAAGCGGATAGAAAGGTCTTTTCTCTTGTTTGCTAATCTGTCATAAAGTGAATAGCTAGAAATATATTCTTTCAGGGAAAGAGAGTATATATTTCTATTTTTAAAAGAATTATTTGATTTATCTTTTTCTTCATGCGGCCTATGAAGATTAATGTGGGGGGTTTAATTTATAATTCATCATTAAAGATCTCCCGTCAAGATGACGCGTGTGTCTACCAAAGGGTCCACATGTCCATCTGCCCCCGCCACCGCTGGTTCAGCTCGTGCTAAATCTAATTTCTAAAAGTTTCTAGTATTTTAATGATTTCTAGATATTTTTTTTTAGTTTCTCATGTTCCAATCTATCTCTAAATTGTTTGCCAAACTTTTATAAGCTTAAAGATATTTTGTGGTTTAGAAACATTATTAATTGTTTAGTGAAATTTTTATTTGAAAATAATAAAACCACTTCTATCCGATGTAGGAAGGTGACTTAAATAGTGTTGAGAGTTAATAGTGGTAGTTTGTTAGACCATGGCCATAGTTTAGAGCATCTCCAGAAGCTTTCTAAAAGAATTCCCTAATTTATTTTTCTGGAAAAAAATAAAAAATCTCTTCAAAAGTTTTGAATTTAAACTTTTTAAAGATATAAGTGCTTGGTAAATCTTCTCCTCAACTCATAAATATGCGCATGTGTTCCGCTTTTGCTATAGTGTAGCCGTGTAGGTGCCCCCTTCTGCTTTGAGTTTTAGGAAGCTAACTATGGCAATCTATTGTAGAAATTAAAAATAGCTTCCTATTCATTTTGTTTGTTTGGTATAATCATTAATATCCCAAGTAATATTCAAGTAGCTTTTGGATATGCTTGTAGTCTTGTAGAGGAAAAAATTTGATATTTTCCAATGAATTTCCCACTCGGTCCAACTACCTCCCCTTCCCTCTCGCCCTAGGCCCAATTGCCTCGCACCCTCTTGAGCCCAACCAACACCTCGGTAGTCCGCACGGCCCAACACCCGCCCTCCTCCCCCACTTCGGCCTCTCCGCGCGCCGCACCCGCCCGCCGCCGCACTCCCCCCCATTGGTCATCGCCGCCGCATCCCCGTACGGGCCCACCCAAGGACCTCGTTGCGCCCACCCGTCCGCCTCCGTCCAGCTCAGCGGCCCCCGAGCCACCGACCACTCGGCAACATGCCGCCGCTTCGGCCCCCGCCGCCGCGGCTCCTGCTCAACAACGTCTCGTGCATGCGGAACGCGCAGACGGTGCTCCGCGACATCAACCTCAGCGTCCACGACGGCACGGCCCTCGTCCTGACCGGCGCCAACGGCTCCGGCAAGACCACCCTCCTCCGCATGCTGGCGGGCTTCTCGCGCCCCTCGGCGGGGGAGATACTCTGGAACGGCCACGACGTCACCTCCCCCGGCGTCTTCCAGCAGTACAAGCTGCAGCTCAACTGGATGTCGCTCAAGGACGCCGTCAAGGAGAAGCTCACGGTGCTCGAGAACGTCCAGTGGTTCGAGCTCCTCGAGGGGAAGGACGGCAGCAGGTCGGGCCCGGCCATCGAGCTCATGGGCCTCGGCAGGCTCATGAACGAGAAGGCCAGGATGCTCTCCATGGGGCAGAGGAAGCGACTGCAGCTCGCCAGGCTGCTCGCCATCGACCGACCCATCTGGCTGCTGGACGAGCCCTCCGTCGCGCTGGATGCAGAGGGTACCAGGCTGCTCGAATACATCATCGCTGAGCACCGGAAGAAGGGTGGCATCGTGTTCGTGGCCACGCATCTGCCGATTCAGATTGAGGATTCTATGTCGCTTCGGCTTCCGCAGAGGTTTCCCCGGAGGAAGACGCTGGTTGATCTTGTCCATTGATGTCAATGTGAGCACAGGAATTTAGCTGTATCTCTCTAATTCCTCTCCAGCTATCTATCTGAATGCTGTTGGAGCAATATTTTTTACTGGTGTTGCATTTGTCATCCTATTTTTGACAACATGACAATACATTCTCTATGTTGATAATATGTGCGGTTGTTCTTTGTGATCACCGTTTTGATGAATTGGCCCATGTA